CACCTCAGTGGGAATTCTTCCCTCATAAAGGCAGAAGTCAGAGTGTGAGGCTTCTGCTTCTCAGATTTTGGTCAATTAGAACTTGAAGGATCAGGGATAACTCCCCACCTCCATCCAGCCCCTTTCTCCCAAAAGTCTCCATAACCTCCCCATACAGCACCACAGCTGGGGACCCAGTGTTCACACACATGACTTGGGAGAGACATTTCACATAGAAACCATCACACCTCCCTTTATCCCCTCTCCATCTCCTTCCATCTCTCTCTTCTGCCCCTGTCTCTCCTCTGCTTCTGTAGCATGCTTCCTTCTGTAACTCTGCTGGCCACCTCCCTTTATAGAAACCTGTGCAATGACATGGGCCTAGCCAGACAGCCCGGGGATATCTCCCACATCAAAAGCAATGGCATCATCCTTGGTACCATGTAGAGAGCTAGACTCACAAATTCCAGAAATGAGAACACGGACATCTTTGGCAGCCATTATCCTGACTACCACAGTCATACAAAGCCATACTGACATAGGGATATGAGCAGACAGACACCAGACTCTTCCTCACTGGGTGACCCTGCCAAGGAGGCTCCCTAATGGCCGTGAGGCACTTAAAGGTGACCAACCAGCAGTGCCCCTACCCCAGCCCTTTCAACCTGCAACAGAGTTTGCCAAGTAGACAGGGCCTAGTCTCAGCCACTTTGCTTGCAAAGCTTTGCTTCAGGGACTAACCAGGAGCTTCCCATCACTGCAGTGAAGTCCCCCCCACCCCTTCTCCAATGTTCTGGGGGGAACAGGATTCAAGGAATCAGCCACAGGTGACAGTTATGCCACCTGTGATTGGAGTAAGCCACGGAAACCTAAGGACCTTTGCTTTCTAGCAATGGTTCAAAAGCAGCACAAACAGATCCACGGGAAGCCACAAACTACAGTGTCATAACAGGATCGATAGGTGATATGTGTGAGTTAACAAATCCATTATGAGCCAGGCCTGATTCGGAGAACTATACATATGATGCACGCGTGCTATGGCATTTTTATACTTATTTCAGCTGAAGGTAACATGTGATACTCTTACTCCCTGTCTACAGATGAGGTTCAGGAACGGTTGAAGAAGAAGCTCAAGTTTGCCCAGCTGCAGAGCAGAGAGATGCACGTGGGCCATTCTGATCCCATAGCTTGTGTTCTCGTCTACTATGTCTTCACAAATGGTAAATTCTGCCTATAAACCCGAGCCAAGGAATTCAAAAGGATGGAGATCTGTTACTTCCTGGAGTCACCCCATTGTCACCCTAAGGGCAGCACAGGCAGGCAGGCTTGTAGTCTGTGCAGCCAGCTGAGTGAGGCTACTGCTCCTTCTGCCCCAGTCCCCACGGGTTCTCCTCCCCTCTGCCAGAGAGCTCCATGGTCCAGGAATCCCACTAAGGCCAGTGCTAAGAACCGTGGACTGCTTTGACTTCTATTAGCTCCTGCCAGCCCTTGGAGAACTGCACACAAGAGAGATTAATCCCTTTGCCTAGAAAATGTACCTGTATACACACAATGTTCCAGGGCACTCTTACAACAGGGGATTTAGAAGAAAACACTAGTGATCATCAACATTTTGGTGGCTGATGCACAAAGATCACCACAAGTTGGAGGCCAGCATGGGCCACAGAAGCAAGACTTCAGAAGCAAGCACACAGAAACTGACAAATGTTGGTGAGGATGCAAAGAGGCAGGCAGTGCTGATGGGGACGTGCATTAGTACAGCTGTTATAGAAAGCTAGCTAGAGGCTCCTCGGGAAATTAAGGGAACTAGCCTGGGTCCAGCAATACCACTACTAGGCATTTATCTAATGGTACTTGTCTAAAGTGGCAATTCCACAGAGTCTGTCTGATAGTCAAAAGGGATTTATGCTGTGTTAACTTACAATAAACATGAGGGAGTGGATCGCAGGATCCAGGAGGGGTGTGGCACGGTCCAACGCAGTTCTCTGGAGAACTCTGCCTTCCACAGCACCAGCATCCAGCATCCAAGACCACAAGATAGCCAAGAGAGAAAGCACGTATGTGTTCCAGGTCTTAAGGGGTCCCCCCTTGGCCACACCCCAGGGGAGGCAAGTACCTAGCAGTTACCTGCTGCCTGGTAGAGGTGGTGCTTCAGGGGTAAAGCACAGACAACCACCCCTACATCTGTCTCAGTCAGTGTTCCGACAGCAACTCTTAGAAAGGAAAGCATTTAATTGGGGGCTGGCTTACAGTTTCAGAGGTTTAGTCCTTTATCATCATGGTGGGACATGGAGGTGTGTAGGCAGACATGGTGCTGGAGAAGGAGCTGAGAGGTCTACATTTTGATCCACAGGCAACAGGACAGGAGACACACTGGGCTTGGCATGGGCTTTTGAGACCTTGGAGCTCACCCCCAGTGACACACTTCTTCCAACAGGGCCACACCTTCTAATCCTTTCAAAAAGTACCACTCCCTGGTAACCAAGCACTGAGATACAGGAGCCTATGGGGGGCATTCTTAATAAACCATCACAATACTGAAATAAAAGATGCATTTGGCATCATCACCAACGTTCATTTTACTCACCAGCCATACTTTGGAGTCCACCAGTGATGAGTTAGAAGGTATACACCAATCTGGTACTCCTTGACTTAGAATTCTTTATCTCAAAGAACAATGTTGCTTATGGTCAAAAGAACACATTTGAGCACAAGGTTACAAAGATTTCATTCTGGGCAGCAATGTCTTAATTATGTTCCTTTTGCTATAATAAAACACCATGACCAAAGCAACACATAAAAGAAATCATTTAGGGCTGGAGGGATGGCTCAGAGGTTAAGAGCAGTAGCTGCTTTTCCAGAGGTCCTGAGTTCAATTCCCAGAAACCACATGGTGACTCACAACCATCCATAATGAGATCTGGTGCCCTCTTCTGTCATGTAGGCAGAACACTGTATAGATAATAAACCTTTAAAAAAAGAAACCATTTAAGCCGAGCAGTGGTGATGTATGCACTTGTGCTCCCTAATGGGTGGGAGCTCCCCGAGGACAAAAGATTGTGTCTGTTTTTCCGTTACACACCTCTAAAATCAAGTGGTTTTGCCTTTGGCTTATGTAGCCCAGGCTGGCCTCCAACTCACTGTGTAGTAGAGGATGGCCATGGGCTTCTGATCCTCCTTCCTTCACCTCCTGAGAGCTAGGAGTATAGGCTTGCCAGACCACACCCATTTATGCAGTGCTGGGGTGCATTCTGGGGCTTCCTGCATGGTAAGCAAGCATTCTGCCAACTGCACCACATTCCAGCCCATGCTTTAGCTTAATAACCCGATTGGTATGATTCTAACTAAATTTTTGTAATTCAGGATGTATTTTAAATATTTGTTTTTATTTTATGTGCATGAGTGCATTGCCTAAATGTATGTCTATGCACCACATGCATGCCTGGTGCCTGCAGAGGCAAGAATCTGGTATTGGATCTCCTGGAAATGGAGTTACAGACAGTTGTGAGCTAACAAATAGGTGCTAGGAACCCAACTCGATCCTCTACAAGAGAAGCAAACATTCTCAACTGCTGAGCCATCTCTCTAGCCCCATACCTTAGGAACTATTTTAGAGAAGAAAGGATGAGTGTCTGTGGACTACCTATTTGACAGACTTTGTTTTGATTCTTATCATTTTTTCATTTTAACAACTATTTCACCTGTGTGTAAGGTTAGGTTCTAGCTGAGAATGCCTACTTCCCCCCAGTACATGCCTCAATGTGCAGCTACACACCCTAGTGTGATTTTTTTTAACCTGTTCTTTCTACTAGTCTCTACTCTCCAAGAAAACAGAGAAGGGTCTCTATTTGCTAAGAACGGTACCTAGCAAGTAAGTACATAAGTCACAGAGCCTTTTAAAGAATTATTTTATAATTAAAAAGAAAAATTTTGAAACAGGGTCGCCCTTGCTGGCCTGAAACTCCTTATGTATAAGCTGGCCTTAAATGCATAGTGATCTGCCTGCTTCTTTTTGTTTTTTTCTTTTGTTGTTGTTTGTTTGTTTGTTTGTTTGTTTTCCGAGACAGGGTTTCTCTATGTAGCCCTGGCTGTCCTGGAACTCACTCTGTAGACCAGGCTGGCCTGTGAACTCACAGAGATCCGCCTGCCTCTGCCTCCCAAGTGCTGCGACTTTACCTCCAGAACCACCTCACCAGCCAAGTTTTGAGGACTTTGTAGCAGATAATCTACAAACAGCGAGTCGGTAAGCAGTGAACACAGGAGTGGATGTTCAGAGAAACTGGGCCTCTCGATGCTCAAATTCCACAGCTACCATTTTACTTGATCTGTACTGTTCCCAAAAAGTAAAGAACAAGACTGAGACCCGATGGCATCTGAGGAGTTCCCTGAGGCGATTCATGAAGCCATAGCTTTAATGGAGAGAATTTACAACTCTGAGCAAATTCCATTCCCTGTGACAAACTCAGGGGAAAAAAAAGCAACATTTTTACATGCTTTATGGTCAACAGTTAACACTGTAGGAAATTCGGTTTTAACCTTGAATATTCCTTAAAGAAATAACTCAAGAAGAACCGCCACTATATCTCTAGGAGTCTTTTGCATCTTGTCAGTGAAACTAATAGGATACACAACCTATTTAAATGTAAATTTAAATACAGCTTTTTTTCTTCGCCTCTCTGCTCTCTTTGTTCCTTGCGATCAGGTTTGGAGACCGCATAGTCTCCAATATGCAGATCTAACAGGTGCTTGCTTGGGTGTACAGGGCTGAAAGTACTGAGGGACTTAAATGTCATATTTGCCCAGTTACCGAGGTGAGGAAGGGCTCTGGAAACAGGGAAAAAGCTGGTCCTCCACGGAGACCCCGTTACTAGGCAACCGCTGGCGTTCCCAACCGCCGTCCCAACGCCACTTGCGCGCCCTCGTCGCCCAGGAGATGGACGCCTCCACTCGGCCCTGCCGTAAACCCGCACGCTCTTTACGTCACTGCCGCGGCCGCCGCTGCGTGCGCGCCCTCTGCCCCCACCTCCACACTCCGCCCCGGCCGCCATTGCCTCGTGCCCGCGCTGGTCGGTTGGTGGCGCCTTTGTCCTACGGCGGGCAGGTGGGCTGAGGCCGAGGCGGGAGCGGCGGGCCTGAGGCCGGGGAGCAGCGGGGAGGCGGCCGCGCTGGTAGCGGTGAGTGCCGGGAAGCGGTGGCCGTCCGCCGACGCGCAGGACTGATGGGCAGGCAGTTGGGGGTGGGG